ATTCCTGGAATTTGTCTTTACTTAAAATTGCGGTATTGTGTACATCGTGGATGTTTTTGCATTGATTTGGGATTTGGGGTTTTTTTTTAAGATATTGCATTAACGTATTAGTTATGTTGATTACTGAGTTTTTTGGCACCGAAATTTAGCACTTAAAGCCAATGCCTCGCTTGCCCCACCCTAATCCCAACCCCTCTGGGACTCTGGATTGGGACTTTGGTTTTGCGGTCTTCATAACCCCCACTGTCTGAGCCCAGAACTGAGGACCACGCAGCCCTGCGGCTACAAGTCCAGCCACACCCCACGCCCAGTTACCAGTAGCAACCAGCTCCAGCTGGTTGCTGGGGGGAGACCAGCTGGTCCCGCTCTGATAGGAGCAGCGGTAGCGTCCGACGAAGCGTTGTTCCATGGCCGAGATGGAGAGCTCCGCCTGGTCCAAATACTTCCGGGATATCAGTTCCTCCAGGCGGTACAAGTCCGCGCCTGGAGGGCCCTGGCAGCTGATGGTCACCGGCTTCCCCAGGGGCACAAGGGAGCTGGGCCGGGCCTGGAGGGAGGGCTTGGGCAGCAGGCCTGAAAGGGAAGCAGAGTCTAGCAGAGGTCAGCTTCCAACAGAGCCTCCTCCTGGGCTCTCCCACCCGCTCCTAACCTCTCGCTGGCTGAACCCAGAAGAGGGACCTGGACTCACCTTTCTGAGCCTGTATCACCTGCCCCAGACACAGCCCTGAGGAAAGAAGCAAAGGGTCAATCACCAGCACCTCAGCATGAATCCACACTTCCTGCGTGCTGGGCACCGGGATGCATGCATTGGCTTTCTTTTTTTCTTTTTAAAAAATTTTTATTTTATGTTGGGGGTATAGTTGATTAACAACTTGTTAGTTGCAGGTGTTCGCTTTCTTCTGTCATAATTTTTTTTCAAAGACACACATTCACGTAAATTGAAGTGAAAGAAGCCAGCCAGAAAAGGCCATGATTGTATGATTCCATTTATATGAAACATCCAGAATGGATCAATCTGTCCAGAGACAGTAGATGGGGGGGTGGCGGGTACCGGGGGGAGGGGGGATTGGGGAGTGATTGTAACGGGTATGAGATTTCCTTTGGGAGTGGTGAAAAGGCCTTGGAACTAGAGAGACGTGTCGGTTGCACAACATTGTGAGTGGACTACGTATCATTAATGGTAAATTTTATGTGAAGTGTATTATTTTACCACGATTTTTAAAAAGCTGAACAGGGATTCCTTGCCGCACCCCCCAGCTCCCTGCAGTACACTTCCCCATTCACACAGCTGGAAAGAGAAGGGAGCTGTGTGCTAGAAGGGGCTCTCACTTTTTTCCAGTTTCACAGAGATGTAATTGACATGTAACATGGTATACGTGTAACAGTGTTGATTTGAGACATTTTTCTGTTGCAGGATGGTTACCACCATAGTACTAGCTGACACCTCTATCCGGACACATAGTTGCTATTTCTTGTCAGCGGTGAGAACGCTGAAGATGTCGTCTCTTAGCAACTTTCAAGTATATATTACAGTATTATTAGCTATAATCACCATGCCACATATTAGATCCCGATGTGGTGTCTTGCATTAAATCATAAGTCAAGAGCTCTCAGGGTGCATTAATACTGGATTCCTCCCTATTTTATGCTTTTGGGTTAAATCAATATTCTCCCTATTTTGTGCTTTTGGGTTAAGTCATTATTATGACTGTGCAAATATTATTCACACCTGAGCATTATAATGTACCTATATACTATTTTTCTATTTATTTTTCCTAGGATCAATAATTGTATGGTTTATTTCCATCCGCATAGTGTTCCTTGAACCTGTATCTAATTCTTTCCACCATTTTCAATAGCCTTTCCATGTAACTTTACACATCTATCAAACTGCATGATCTATAAGTTCCACTTTTTTCCTTGGAGGTGCCTTCCCATTTTCTCTTCTAACTGAACGAATTCTTCTCTAGGTTGAACAACTGCCCTTTTTCTCTCAAGCTAAGACTCTTTTTCTTTTTTTTTTTAACCGTTTTGCTGAGTTAGTAGCATTATCAGTTTAAGTCTCACTAGGGTTGCCAGATTTAGCAAATAAAAACATGGGACTCCCAGTGAAATTTGAATTTCAGGTAAACAACAAATAATATACAGCATATATTGCATAGTAGGTCCCATGAGGCCCACGATCAGGTAGATTCAAACACTAGCAGCGTATTTTCGTGGTAAAGAATGTGGATTTGGTGCAAACATTCCTTAGTTTGTATTCGAGCCATAGCTGTGTGACCTTAAACAAGTTACTTCATCCTTCCGGGCCTCAGTTTTCTCACCTGTGAAATGGGAATAATCGTAGGCCCTACTTCATCAGGCTGTTATGGGGATTAAATGAGTAAGTGTCCGTTTAAAAACATAGAATAATGTATCTGTAAGTGCTACATGAGTGTCTTTAAAGAATGAATAAGTGAATGAGAGGCAGTTTGTGTTCATAGTATACACTCTTATCCCCAGTAACACCAACTGTTTCCTTCCTTCTTAGCCCCTTGGAGCCTCTGTCCTTTTAGCGATAAAGTTCTTTTGAAGAAATAAGGAAATAATGCACACACGTGCCCAGAATGAAGCTTGATACGGAGAAGGCAGTAAAAACGCATCTGAGCCCACCCCCAGTCCTATTAAGGGGGACTCTTACTCCAGCCTTATTGAGGTTAATTGACAAACAGAAATCTTATATATCTAAGGTTTGCAGCTTGATGACTTGTGAAACAATTACCACAATCAAGCTAATTAACACATCCACCACCTCACGTAATTATCGTTTGTTTTTTTTTTTTTGGTGAGAAATTTAAATGTAGTCTCTTAGCAAATTTCAAATATATGCTACAGTATTATTAGCTATGATCATCATTCTATAATTCGGATCTCCAGAAGTTCTTCATCTTATAGCTGGAAGTTTGTACCCTTTGACCAACATCTACCTCCCCATTTCCCCCACCCCCATGCCCCAGTCCCTGGCATCTACCAACCTACTCTCTGCTTTTGTGGGTTTTTGAGATTCCGTGTATAAGTTAAGATCCTGCAGTATTTGTTTTTCTCCATCTGGATTGTATCGCTCAGCACAGTACCCTCAATTTCCGTCCGCGTTGTCACAAATGGCAGAATTGTTTGCACCAGTACCATGAGGGATACTGACAAGCTAAATCTGTAATCTAGCCCTGATACCAAATCCACATTAAACAAAATTAAAAATTAAAACATAACAAGGACCAATTGTATAGCACAGGGAACTCTCCTCAACACTCCGTAATGGGCTGTATGTGAAAAGAATCTAAAAAAAGGTGGATATATTTATATGTATAGCTGATTCACTTTGCTGTACGCCTGAAACTAACACAACAGTGTAAATCAACTATACTCCAATAAAAATTAACAACAACAACAAAACAAAGCGAAGAGCCAAGGAAACGTTTAAATACTGTGGAATAATATTCAGCTATTTAAAAGAATGAGTTAAAAACTATACATGTCTACTGCTATGTACATATGTGTACACATTTGTACTAAAAGATTAAGATAAATGTAGAAGGATAAACAAGTATCGGCTACTGTTGGTGAGTTAAGGGGGGCTTAGAACAGAATTTATTGTTTTCTTATATGTCCTCTTACAACTTGTAAAGAGAAGCATAAACTTTTATAAAGAATCTAATAACAGTTTAATAAAAAAAAACACACGCACACACAACAAGGACCTACTCTATAGCACAGGGAACTATACTCAGTATTTTGTAATAACCTGTAAGAAAAAGAATCTGAAAAACACATATATGTATATATCTGAGTCACTGTGCTGTACACCTGAAACTAACACCACCTTGTGAATCAACTATATTCTAATTAATTAATTAATTAAAATTAAAACAGCATGGAGTAGTGGGAACGTTGCAGTCAACACTGGGAGACCTGTATTTATTTTTTTAACTCAGCCATGAATAAACTAGAGTAATTCAGACAAACACCATCTCCCAGTTTTCCCACCCAACAAATAAATGAAGTGACCCTTGGTCACCTCCTGCCCTGAAAATTTCCTCTTTTGCCTCTTGTACTGATGCAATTTTTTAAAAAAAATTCTTTGTCTCATAGCCCACTGCGCATCCCTCAGCATTTTGCAGATTGACTCACCAAGGCAGAAGAAGGCAGCCATGGATGGGGGCACGGTTCCTCGGCCTGTCCTGAGCTGCATAGCCCAGGAGGGAAGCCCTGGGTGCGGGCCGGGGCAGGGATGCAGGATGCGATGGGAATGAAGGATGCTCTCCTACCTCCCCCCGCCAGCCTGGCTTTTCCTAACTGAGACTTATCAAGCTGGAGGCGTCCCCTCGGTAGAATGACTTGCACACAAGCTCCAAGGAGCCTGGCTTATCTCCCGCCACCAGCCCAGTGTCCCAGCAGGTCTGCCTAGTGAGGCATCGTCTGCGTTCTGATACTCCCAGAAGCTCCCTGGCGTTCATTAGGGACATGCAAGTCAACACCACAATGAGATATCACTTCACAGCCACGAGGATGGCTCTATCAAGAAGACAGATATTAGCAAATGTTGGTGAGGAAATGGAGAGGTTGGAGTCCTCACGCTTTGCTGGTAGGTGTATAAAATGGTGCCTCCGCTGGGGAAAACATTTCCTCAAAACGTTAAGCAGTGAATGATTCAGCAACTCCACTTCTGGGTATATACCCAAAAGAATTGACAGCAGGAACTTGAACAGATATTTGTATACCTGTGTCCACAGCAGCATTATTCACAATCGCCAAAACATGGAAACAACTCAAATGTCCATTGATGGAAGGATAAATAAACTGTGGTGTATACATACCACAGTGGAATATTGTTCAGCCTTTGAAAGGAATGAAATTCTGACACAGGCTACGACCTGGATGAACCTTTATTAGGCTAAGTGAAATAATCCAGACCCAAAAGACCACACATTATATGATTCCATTTATATGAAATGTCCGCAATAGGCAAATTCATAGAGACAGAAAGTACTCTGGAAGTTATCAGGGGCTGTGGGAAGGGAGAACGGGCAGTTATTGCACCATTTTAGATCTCTACCGGGGTAAAACGCATGGAAACTTTGGTAAGTGTTTTGAACAAGGTGCTGACACAGAATACTACCTGACAGATCTCTGTAATAGAGTGGTTTCAGGGAACTTCTCTTTGGAGCGGTGATGTTTGAGGTCATGCCTGATGGTAAGAAATATTCATAGAGGAAAGGCAGCACGTTCAGCCGGCCCTAAAGTCTTGATGAAATAAAGAGCGTGGCATTTTCATGTAACCAGAAAATGATTGGTGTAGCTGGACTTAAGTGAGTAGAAAACTAAGACTGAAGAGATTATAAGGGTCAGATCAGGACGGCCCAGCTGTCGCAGGTGATTCTTTTGCTTTTAATTATCTTTTGTTTCTCTTAGTTGAAACATAATTTACAATGTTGTATTAGTTTCACTTGTACACACAGCAATTGTTACATATACATATACATGTGTGTTCTTACATGTATAAATACATGTATGTATGTGTATATATGTAGGTATGTATATTGTTTTTCATATTCTTTTATAGATTATTACAAGATATTATAGGTTATTATAGGTTATAGGTTATTACAAGATATTGAGTATAGTTCCCTGTGCTATACAGTAGATCCTTGTTGTTTACCTATTTTATATATAAGTAGTGTGTATCTATTAATCCCAAACTCTTATCTCCCCACCACCACCCGCTACCCGCTTTGGTAACCAT